AAAATACCCCCACAACAAGAAACACTAATCACCCAACTACAGAAAAAGACAAAAGCCTATCTCACAGCCATAAATACTGCACTCCCAAGCCAACTACACCAGAGCACAGGTTGCTGTCCTCTGAAGATGCCAGCCATAGAGACTGGCAAAACGTCAGGAAGAACAACCTTCAGAACACGGCCAAAGAGCCCGAAAAACCCACGACAACCATCTTGTAGGAGACTTATGGCACAGTGATTAAACTGAAATATTGTCGTCAAGACTCTGCTCATGATCTGAGTTCAATCCCAATGGGCTCCGGTAGCTGGCTCAAGGTTGACTGAGCCTTCCATCCTTCCAAGGTCAGTAAATTGAGCTCCTTGGATGGGGAGTCATTGTGTATGCTCCATAATTAAATTGGAAACCACCAAAGAGAGTGATTTAAGGGCCATGGGGCGATATATAAGCAGCACATTTTGCTTTTTGTTTTGGGGCATCTTAAGTTTTATTTCATGTAAGCTTTTGTGGGTTGTAGCTCAGTTCTTCAGATAGACATGGAAAACACCACTATGTAGGTAAGCAACACAAATGACCCCACTTGACTGGCTTTGGTGAAATAAAAATGGAGAAATTCTACTTACAACCGTGGGTGTGACGATGTTGTAGGCAGGAGGGGTGTAAGGGGGAGGAGCCTGAAACAATTGAAATACACCCGGAGTTAGATCCAGATTGTGATGCACTCAACAGAAAGGGTCTGGTCAGGAGCTCTGCTAAACTGGGTGGGAGTGGAGAGGGAGGTGTTCCTAAAAGTAGCAGGATCTTTTACAGAATGGCAGTCATTCCAATAAAGAAAAGGCAGTCCTACATCCAGAGCTACGAAAAGGATTAGTTAACTAGTTAGTTTCTTTAACTACAGCATCACCAGTTCTCCAACTTAGCCAGTAGCCATGCCAGGTGGGACAGTCTATATACTGTATTTTTCTGTGTATAAGACACCTCCATGTATAAGACACCCCCACTTTTCTAGCCCAAAATTAAGAAATCTAAGTGGGGCTTAGCAAGTGTAGGGGGAAAGGGATCAAAGTGCTGCAGGATCACTTTGATCCCTGCTTTCTCCCTTTGTGCTGAGCCCTGCAAGGCTTAGCAAAAGGAGGGGGAAAGGAATCAAAGCAATCCCGCAACTGCACAATCATTTTGATCCTTTTCCCCCTTATACAGCGACGGGATTGCTTTGATTCTTTCCCTCCTCCTTTTGTTAAGCCCCATGGGACTTAGCAAGCAGAGGGGAAAGCAGTGATCAAAGCAATCCTGCAGCACTTTGATCTCTGCTTTCCCCTCCACTTGGTTTTTTTCTCTCCTAAGCTTACTTCCGTGTATAAGACAACCCTCAATTTTTACTCTAAAAATTTTAGACAAAAGTATAGTCTTATACACTGAAAAATACAGTAGTTTTTTTTTAAGTTTCAAAGATCTATCTATATGCAGGCCCTAAAGATAAGAATTAATAGTTTGTAAACATTCTAGTTTGTTGGGGGGGTCCCCACTATGAAAAAATCAGGTTCATCGTTTGCCCCAAACCTCTAATCTGCCACTTTGAGCTTTTAAGAGAAGTGATGCCAACCTTCCTCCGGCTGTAACATATTTACTGTATATCATCAAAATACAATGGCTGTTTAAAAAGGTTCCCAACCTTGGGTCCCCAGATATTCTTGGACTACAACTCCCAGAGATGCTGGCCAGCACAGATGGTGGTGAAGGCTTCTGGGAGTTGTAGTCCAAGAACATCTGGAGACCCAAGGTTGGGAACCAGTGTTCGAAAGGCTTCTGTTCTTTTTTCATAAGATTCCCCCATCAGCTCCCCCATTATAAGCCACAGAACTCATGTTGGTCAAAGAGATGGTGACACAGAACTTACATTAGTTCCAGAAAAGCTGATGCAGTTCACAGACAGATCCCCATTGATCTCTAAATTCTGGACCAGATGGAAGGGGATACGGTGCCTGTACTCCAGAAAGTGGGCGCCATTGAGAGAGACCTAGAAAAATAGTTATGGAACAAAGAAGACTTGTTTGGAAAACAAACAGACAAATGCAAACAAATAAAGACAAAACAAAGCAAAGGAAAAACACACACCCAAAGATATGGGTGATTTTAAAAGAGTGAACAAATCTATTTCAGTATGACCTGTTGTGGATTTCAGGCCACTAGTAAATCAGCTGATCTTTAACATTGTCACAAGATTTTTCTTTTTACGTGGTTTGGGTTTTTTGTTTGTTTCAAATAAACTAACATTCTTCCTTGGATTTTGCTACAACTTCATGTGGGGGAAAAAAGAGGTGGAAATTTAGTTTGTGGGCTGCTTGGGTTCCTATTTCAACCACTAGGTGGTAGCCATAAAGCAACCCTGCGGACACCTTTAATAAACATTTTGTATAGATAAATTTCATGGAGCAAAGGCCACTGTCTATGGAATTGCTCCTGTGTTTTCATAAACTGAAATAAAAAGCTAAAACAAAGCACCGTCTCATGGCTTCTTCCAAAGCGAGGCCATCTTGTGTCATTCATTTTATTATTTCTACTCTGCCTTTTCCCCAAAAGAGAACCAAAGGCGACTTACAGTGTTAAAACAAAAGTTGTACGATCCTTTTTAAAAATCCCATGGTGTCAACCCGCACAGAGGTGGTTTAACGGTTACCTGGACGACCGTCTCACAATTTAACTGGTTGGCTGGTCCACCTCACCTGGTAGCAGTGGCTCCGGACATGGATGATCATCTCAAAATAGATGCCCGGCTGGAAGGGCATGTTAAGGGTTCGCTCCTCGGGCCCCCAGGAACCTTTTTGCTTTGTATTGCAGACCACAACCCGGCCTTCATTGAAACGTGGGTTGAAGTGAAAGGCGATGTCCCCATTTTGGCACACGAGGTTGACCGCAAAACTGAAAGAGGAGGTGACACGGAAGCTGAAATTCTGTAGGAGTCATTAAGGGGGAGATAAGCAGCTATACGGGTAGGGAGTTCCACCTGAGGAGAAAGGAGGGGAGAAATAAGAGGGGAAAAAGGTGGGAGAATCAAGTGCTTTGGAGAAAGCGAAGATGGTGGAGCCACATAGATGTTACCTCGGAGGGGAACACAGGTGGGATGTAACTCTAGGAAGATGGATGTAACACAGAGAAATTGAGATGGTACCTTTCAACAACTACCTGTATTATTATTTACAGTCCTGTGAGGGAGAAAAAAAGTACACCCTCTTTGGATTCTATGGTTTTACAGTATGTATCAGCACATAATAAAAACCATCGCACACATTGTATAAATTGTGCATCACCTGGGCACCCATGCAACACCTAGGCTCTCAAACCGGTGAATCACAGTGGATGCCCATCTCTAGTCCCATCACAGAAAGCCCTGCATAAATCTTGCAAACTAAAAGGTGACGGGCAAATGGCGCCTCCGTAGCACCACCTTGGACTCTTTCGCCATCAGCCACAAGGACTTTCGAGGGGACTACAAGCTGAAGAAACATCGACTCACTAGGAAAACTAGCAAGTTGACTAATTTGGCTATAATTGGCTCCTTTTCTACCAGGTGAATAAACAAAATTATAACCCCAACCTTCTAAAGAAGTTGCTATGTCTCTGAATTCTAAGCCTCCCACTTGAGACTTGTACAGTTTTGGTGGCAAGCAATGGGATGGGAGGGGGAGTCACAAGAATAATACCAAGTCCTTTGCTTGAAGTCTGGGATGGAAAATTCCAGCCATATTTACAAGGGAGGATGGTAGAGAGCACACCTCCCAGCTGACTTTACAACCTAGCTCTGAATTCACCTCATACCAGCAGACTCAACATAGACATCTGCCATGAATTTTTTAAAACTAACCTGTGATTTTTCTGCAGTGTCCATGGAGGAAGGATGCTCAGCCTGAAGAAGTGAGATTTACTCATG